GAGCACGACGCAGGCCGCGCAGGTGTGATCTCGGGCATCACGCGACCGAGGAGCACGACGCAGGAGGACAGGTTACGCAGGCGTGGTCTCGGGCAACATGGCCGATGTGTGTGGCTCGGGCGGCAGGTCGCCCTAAGAGGGGCTCGGCAGTTTATGACCGAGGGATATGGCGAAGGTCGAGGGACACGACTCAGGCGGGCAAGCCGCCCTGAGGTGGACTCGACAGTCTACGGCCGAGGGACACAACTCAAGCGGGCAGGCCGCGCTGAGGTAGACTCGGGCAGTCTATGGCCGAGGGACGTGGCTCGGCCAGAGAGGCTGCCCTGAGGGGGGCTCAGCATTCTACGACCGAGGGATATAGCAAAGGCCGAGGGACACGACTCAGGCGGGTAGGCCATCCTGAGGTGGACTCGGCAGTCTACGACCGAGGGACACGAGTCAGGCAGGCCACGCTGAGGTGGACTCGGGCAGTCTACAGCCGAGGAATATGGCAAAGGCCGAGGATTATGACTCAGGCGGGCAGGCCGCGCTGAGGTGGACTCGGGCCGAGAGGCCGCCCTAAGGGGGTCTCGACAGTCTACGGCCGAGGGATATGACAAAGGCCGAGGGACACGACTCAGGCGGGCAGGCCGCGCTGAGGTGGACTCGGCAAGGACACGGCTCAGGCGGGCAGGCCGCGCTGAGGTAGACTCGGGTAGTCTACGGCCGAGCCGTGTAGATTCAGAAGGGTTTAAGCCGGGGCCAACCGCGAGCCGAGAGGGGTCAGGCAGATACTGAACCTTCGCTCGGAAGAGACTGAGGCAAGGCTTAGATTTCTTTTCATGAGGACTACATCAGGTAGCCACCGCGGGTGCTTGACCTCTCTTATGGAGCCCGCGGTCGGAAGTCGTCCCTTCTCCTCACGGTCGCCCAAGCCTCCGCTGTAATGTACCGGTTAGCCCGCTGGAGCATCTCTGGCACCGTGGTGAGAGGTCGCTCCGCGAGGGCCCAAAGGAATCTGGAAGGTCGCAGGCCCATTATAAACGCCTTTGTTTGAGTCCGATGAGCAGTGCCGCGGAAGGCTTTGGCCGTGCATAGGCTACGAAGTGGAGCTCGAAGTCATTGGCGAGCTGGTCGAACGAAGCAATCGTTCCGATCTTCAAGCTGCCATACCACGCGTGGGCCGGCCCTCTCAGAGTGGTAGGAAACACTCTACACATCATGGCATCAGAGGTTTCGTATAGCACCATTTGGGCGTGAAAAGCGGCTACGTGGTCCGCTAGATCGGTGGAGCCAATGTAAGCGTCCAGAGAGGGGAGCTGGAAGTCCGGGGGGACTATCAAATCCCATATCTCGGGCGTGAAGGGAGACCCTTGGTGTGCGTCCTCCCCGAGCTCTCCCTTGGACCTGCGAACCTCTTCTGCACCTCGTCGAGTCGCTGGCTAACGAAGCGCGACTAGGCCTGCATGGAGTCCGAAGAGAGTGCCTCGGGTTCCGGGCGACCGCTCGGGTTTGCCATCACTGGATCCCCGAGTGGGGCCGGTTGGACCCGATGCGAAGTGGGGGTCTGGTAGTGTCATGTGGGCCCGAACGGGCGCCTTGCGTTGTTGCAGTGGTTCGATCGCGGGCGGGTGCGCCGGATGAGAAACGAGCGGGATAATGGTTTGCACCATTTCCACCAGAGCTCGAACTTGACGGGCGAGGTCTTGAAAGGCCTCGGGTGACACAGGCGTTGAGTCGGCTGGGGCGCCGTCGGGCGACGACAAGCCCGGGTCGTTGAATATTCGCCAATATCGTTCGGAGGTCGTGGCGGGGTGTTCGTCACGATGGTCTTCGTGCGGGGTATGTTCCCCCGAGGCTTCGATCGGGTGTGACCTCTCAACCGTGGGCTCATCTGAGCCGCTCGGGTGATCACCCGACATTCCGGGCTCTCCTTCTAGCGCCAATCTGTTGGTGTAAACAACTTTTTTAGCCGTGGCCTCGGGACCGACGCGGCTTGTTCTGGGGTCCGAATGACGGGAGTCTAGCGCGGCGTCCCATGGGATCCCCGAATGGCCGATCTCGGTGGTCTGATCGGGAGAAAAGCTTCGCCGCAGCACCAGGTAGAGACGACTCAGGTCCAGCACCTGCACACAGGTCGGGTCGGAACCCCGGCCCGACCCCTCCGACGATCAAGTCAGTGATGTGGAGTGGAGTTTTGGATGAAGAAGTGCTTCTCCCTCCGTATGTGTTGTTGCCCCCTCCGTTTGTCTAGAACTCTGGGGTATTTATGGATGGGTTTGATGTTACATGATGTGGCTGCCAGCAGGAGCAGGACCGTACCTCCGATAGCGTCTGATATTGCCACTGGGGTTACGTGGAGAACCGAACTGCCGCAGGGTATGGGCGAGCTTCGGCCGACGTCCTCCTCTGCCTTGGCCGAGCGCGCAGGGTCAGATGGTTGAGTCGTTGACTGGGAGCAGGTGACGCTAGCGCATATCAAGTCGGCGTTAATGCCCGTTTCCCCTGGCAGTGTGTCACCCAGGTACGACTGACATCATGGCGCATTACATCGTCATTTTTACCCTCATCAGGTAGCATGATGCTTTATTACCGTGACTTCGACATCACCCCCTCCTACATGATTACTACAGAGAGTGCTTGACATTGAGGTAAGGGGAAGATGACCTTCGGCACAAATTCCAGTTTTAGTTTTATGCTCGACATTGAGGTCAACTCTTTGTAGTTTCAGCGCAACAAGTTACTGGGAATCGTGCACACTAACAGCAATTAAAGGGTTTGACTTGGAAGGCTGTGCGAACTCGTGAGTTTTCATGTTTGACCCTCTATAAGAGGACAAGGGTGGAGGATGTGGTCAGCTACAAATCTTGATATTTTAAAAGTACATTTGATCCGAATAAAAAAAAATATATAACAGCCTCACATTCAATCCGATTCCAATGCCATTTTGTTCTTGCAACATTTGTATGCGTCGTAGCTGAACACCGTTTGGATGATTTTCTACGATCCATCTACAAAACGTATCATTATTGTAGACCCAAATAAAAGACAGTAAGAGATGCAACAATTTACGTCTGTCTATTAAAAATATCTAAATAAAAAAAAGGTAAGAAAAATACAATTCAAAGTAGAGTGATAAGAGACTAAATCAACAAGAGTCTCACCACAGAGTGATGGATAGATAAACAAAGACAATAACTTTGTTCCCCTTATGAAAAGAACATGCATCCCAACTCCAAAAGCAAAAAAAAAAATTCTCCAAAAAGAACAGGAGAAAGTATCACCATTCAAACTCGAAGAAGAATTTAATGCCTCACCTTCATTCATAAATTTGCATCGATCATGGTTGGCTGACTGAGAAGGTAGTTGTGCCATCCCTTTCCAATGAGCTCATGTAATAGCCAATAGCTTGTATCTAAAAGATAGGTGTTGCCATGACAGGTGCCTTTGTATCTAAAAGAAAGGTTGGTGATCTATTGATTGCTTCTCTGTGACCTCCTGCATGGCAATGTTTGAACCAAAGAAACATAAGTTCCTCTACCAACAAGTAACATTGTGTATATTGACCTCTCAGATCCTGTAGTGCAGTAGCATGGTGCACCGGCTGAATTTTGACAAAATACATAACACACATAACATAAACAAAATTAAATATGCTAGTGCTTGTGAGGAAATAGGCTTACCTGACCTTTGGTGAACATCTTTTTGTTTTCGTCGTGCGCTTGGAATATAGGAGACTTCACTTTCCACCATAATTGTCCATGAGAGCCCATTATTTTGACATAGGATTCAATATTTTTCTACACATCCATTGGTATAGTAGCTTGGGCATCAACACCTATACCTTGAATTGCAAACTACTTGTCTGTTGACAAACACCGCAAACAGAAGAAAAAAGAGAACATAAGAAAACAGAACCAAAGATTATGCAATTGGACAATCTTATCCAAGCCCTTTTCTTTTCTTTGGTTAAGTTAAACTGCTGTCAAATTTAAAGACCTAAATAAAATGAATAGATCATAATCTATGGCCAAAGATGAAGAAAAGGTGCAAAGTAGCAACTGAATTCACCAAAATTGTTTTGGCATAGAGAAGTGACAACAAGCTTCGTGGACTTCAACTGCAACCACCAGTCCAAAGCATGCATGGTAGTTGGAAGGGAGACAAGAAAACCTGTGTCTTCCATTCTCTATCACCACCCTTTGCACCACCATATCCACTCATGCAGCTCTTCCTGTGATCTATCAACCAGTCAATTAGTCTGCCATGGATGCACCAGTCTCCATAGGCCAGAGCCTCATGAGCAAGCACCTGCATCGATCCAATGAGAAATACAATGTTTTACGAGCTTTCATCTCTCGTTTTACAAAGTTCCTTGTAGGAAGTAATCAGAACTTTCTAAGAAAAATCTCTCCATTCTTTTGCTTCTTGTTCTTGTAATGGTTTTCATGTCTTCCTAACAATGCAGAGGAGAATAATGCTGGACCACGATCCGAGGCAGAGGAGAGAGTCCACTCATGGATTCAAGCTTTGGCCAGATCTGAGAAGAACTTAACATTTGAATACGTCCAGTCTACTGAAAGAGGTAGTGTCTAACAACATGGCATGCATGAATATTTTGATGATCACAAAGAAAGATCTTTTACTTCTGTTCCCTGATTTATAGCATTTAAATGGAAAATAGATTCTTTTTAGAAATCTGATAGTAGTTAATACATCTGTTTACATCATTCATCTAAGAGATGTTAGAAATTCATTCGACTGCTGACCTACTAATTTAAGTATTGCCTTACTCTCAGTGGTGAATCCTCCATTATTTTAGCTATGTATGCTTGAGATACTTCATTTCTGCTGTATTATCACTCAACACTCATCCATGATTTCCTGTTATTTGAAAGAATTCAGAAATGATTTGACTGCTAACTATCTTGGTTCATTTCATTATAAGTTACCATAGTTCAGTCACAACTTACATCACAATTCTCCAAGGCAAACATAAAATTTTAAACTTCTAAAGAACTTTGCTATGCTAGACAAAAATACCCGAGATCTCAAAGGCTTCAATGTCATAAGATGGCAAAAAGCTAACCATGTTTGATAATTTAGAATGTTGGACAATTAGAAACAGAAAAACCAAAGTATTTGGTATAGCAAAGATGGAAATGAGATGAATGAACAATTTTACAAAGAAAGAAAGAAGGAATAATGATTTCCATTCATGGAAAATTACTAAATTGAAATAACTTTCATTATGGACAATATAAGTGAAAGTTATCTAAGATGGTGGACATATCCAAAGAAGACATTGTTAGCACTGTCTGAATTATGAACCATCCAAAATCAAAACCAAATTTGAACATGAGTCTGAAGCTTCCTGAAGTTTCGAGTTCTCAATGAAAACATTTTTTTTTGGTTTTTCCATTTCAAACATGACATGATTTTCAAAAAATAAAGCAAAAATTAGATCAATGAGAGAATAATTCTTCGAGAGAAGGTGAAAATTTGAAATTGAAACTAAACGCTTGGTTAAATCTAGGCTAGTGATTTCATAATTATGTAAAGATCAGCATAATTACCTGTAAGATTTTTTTTAATGTATTTGAAAACAATATTTTAATGATGTTTTCTTTTTAAGAAAAAGAAGTTCACAAATAAATCATTCATTAACTTCTGATATTAATAACATATTATCTATAATGGAATTACTTTTCCCCTCTTTTCTTACTATTCCAAAATTTTCTTAATTTTATATTTTTATTTGCATGTGTTTTACACTTCTTTGGTACTGATAAACTAAAAAACCTAAACTCAGTCCAAGCTTACTCAAATGTTTCACTCTAGACACCAGCTGGATTCAAAATAAAAATTGAAGTTTCAAACCATGCTTAAGTGTATACCAGTAAAAAAATGTATTTAAGTAGGAGGTTTTAAAAGCATAAGAGAGCACCATTTCACAGACAGAATATGAAAGGATTTCATGTCCTTTGAACTGCCTGTCTGGAGAATTCTGTCCTTGGGGAGCTAAAAGAAACAAAATTTCCATTTTAATCATTGGAAATTGAGGCTTTTAGTAATTAAAAATGTGCCCATTGCTACAACATTTCTGTATAATTGCATGCAAGCCCTATTCCTTCATTGTGATTGCAAACAACAACAATCCTTATTGGAAATAACAACCTCTTGGACTTCCCTCACAAAAAACACCTAACAATAATTTCCCACTCTACTACAAACAATTCAAAATGACCAATTTTTTTGCCAATGCTTGCTGATATCATAATAAAATATTATTGTACGATGCTGAGCATTACAGCAATGCTATATGTGGTTGAATAAAAAGAATTTCATAACAAGGATTACTTCTCAAAAGCACACCACATGCCACTAACGTGCCATCATGAGATAACAAGTGTTCCATATAAGCTGGCCAAATACATGCAAAATGATATGTTTGAACAACTTCAGCCGAGCAACCTTATGTAGAAATGAAAAATGGGAGATAAAATTTGAATTAATAAAACATGCATTATGTAGAAATCAAGAAACCATGTCTTTTTAAACTGACAATGTAAAGCATTATATTCAATTGTCCCAACTCGGTTTAGATGACGATTTCCTTGTATCTATAGCTGAAATTCCAAGTTCTTTTTGAACTTCAGACCTCTTACGTGCAAGGTAATAATCTTTTAGGATCTTCCTAGTTGTCTTGGCTACCCCTTTTGTTTTCTGAAGTCTTGGTTTGCAATACATATTGCTTAGATCATTTGATATATTGCTAGCAGTCATCTCTTACCTGATATAACCTCTTGGTGACAAAAAGGACGTTCGACTTCTAAAGTGGCAAAAATATGTTCAAATTGTCTCTCTCCAACCACAACCTCCTAGTTTAGTTGGTTGCAACCCAGATTTTGAATCAACCTTCATGATGTCAAATGTCAATCAATTAAAAGTACTTGTAATGTCATTAATTAAATGGTAAATATGATTGGTGAGATCAACTGAGTTGATCCTGTCACCAATCCTTTAGGGGGGGTAATCAGGATCAGATGCCAATCATGACAATCTAATTAGTTAGCAATTCACCAAGCTAGTTCCGTCAAGGTCACCATTCACAACCAATTTTGCTAGTCCTGAATATTTTCAATCCTATTTTCTGGTCTGTCACAATCAATTTTCATTGCAAGGGCGCAAAAAAAAAGACACCTCGCTCCCACAATTCTGGACGAGTGCTAATCCTAAAACCTAAAACCTAAAAACTTGTTCATCAACATTGTCCAGGAAACTACTTCCAATTTAAACCACAGAAAGATCAGACAGACCCCTATCTAGTCCTTTTTTTTTACCAGTCATAGTGCTTATATATGAAAATGTAACAACATTTGAACAATTTTAACAGCTAGAATAAGGTGCACCTACAAGCAGTTGTTTACTTTCAATAGCCTACTTATTATTTTTAATACAGAGTACAGAACTTCAACATTCAGCAGGATTAGAACTGCTCCATCTTTGGACTTGGAAATATCATTCCTAATTTAGTGGACTTCTATTCCTTCTCATCTTTTCAACATATCCTTTTACTGCAACGGTGCTTCTTAACATGTTTTGGACCTTTTCTTTTCTTCAATTTAACTAGGACTATGTTCCTGATAAACTCTTGCTAAAATTCTTTTTTGTAAGACACCTATGGCAACCACAACATCCTCTTCCATGGAATTGTAGCTAATCTCTTGTTCAACTGTGGGAACCTTATTTGTGCAGAAAATAAGCTTCATAAGAAATGCAGTTTCAGAAAGAAAATTAACAAACAAACTAGATAATGTATTAAACATCATAGGAAGTCAGCATCATGTTTTATTCAGCTTGCTTAATCCAGAAACACAGATTAGTTATATCACATCTATTGGCATCACTGATGTTCACTTAAAAAACCTAGGTAAAATATAAGCAATTGACATGTTAAGATATAGAAAGCTAGAATCATTCATAAACTTTCCTTCTTTGGACACATAAGATTGATGATTTATCAATGTAAATTATCCTAGCATACCAAACTTTGTATACAGATTCTAGCATACATGTTCTTATTTGTTTTGTAGTTCACTTGACCTTTTGATTTTCATATTAGTCATTATTTTTTATTATTTTGAATAATGACTTGGTTAGGACATATTAGTTTTCAGGATATTATATATATACATGTATATACATATACAGATACAGATACAGATACATATACATATATACATATAAATATATATATACATATATACATACATACATATATATACATATATAAATACATACATACATACATACATATATACATACATACATACATACATATATACATACATACATACATATATACATACATATATATATACATATATATATATACACATATATATATACATACATATATACATACATATATACATACATATATATATATATACACATATATATATATATATACATATATACAAATATATATATACATATATACAAATATATATATATATATACATATATATATATATATACATATATATATATATATATACATATATATATATATATATACATATATATATATATATATATATATATATTAAAGCCCAATAGTTTTGCTCCGTGTCTGAGAGATGCCTTTGGTGTCTTAGTTTCTTACTCAATTCTGCCCTCTCCAGATTAAGTCTTTTTCTCGATTTCAGAATGTAACTATATTTCTTTCTTGATTAACTCTTGACTGTGATCTATGTTAAGTACAGAAAAGTCATATCTGTTACAGTTACTAATTTGGAAAGTAGAAAGTATGTTATATCACATTCTATGTGAAAAATAGGTATAAGCTACTGCAATACTGTAGATACTGCTCCTTGTCCTGCAGGATTGAGCTTCAAGGAAGCAGAAAGGAGATTGCTGGAAGGTGGACAAAATATTCCCATTGATCATAATTTTCCTAGCTGGTGGCAGCTCTGGTGCAATGCTTTTATACATCCTTTTAATATTATTCTTATCATCATGGCTACACTTTCATTCTTGGCATCTGATAATGCCAATGGAATCATTATGCTCATACTAGTTATGCTAAGCGTAGGCATCCGATTCCACCAGGTAATTTCACATAGCCTTGGGAGTTTGTAACCATCATACTCCACTTCTTTTTTTGCTTATAATGCATCAAATGCTATTATAATTCACGTAAAAAGAACTACTACTATGACAGGACTATAATAGTTCAAGAGCTGCCATGAAACTCTCCGAACTTCTGAGATCACAGATCAGAGTTCAGAGATGTGCCGGAAAAGTCATTCAGACAGAACTAGTAGTACAAATTGACTACAGAGACATAGTGCCTGGTGACATTATCCATTTTAGCCCAGGGGATCTCTTTCCTGGTGATGTAAGACTAGTGACATCCAAAGACTTGATTGTGAGGTACAATATCTAAAAATGGATTTCTTCAGTTCTAGGATTGATCTACCAAATTATTTCATTTGGTACCTACTTCCATAAAGGCGCTATATATTGCATGACCATTATCCTGTTTCTTGAACAGTCAGTCTTCCTTAACAGGCGAGTCAGGAACAACAGAAAAAGTAGCAGATATCATAGAAGATCCAAGCACTCCCTTGCTAGAGCTAAAAAATATCTGCTTTATGGTAAATCTACATCATCTGTTAATATGACTGCATTTTTTAATCTCAACTATTTCTCTATGTCTTGATGAAGAAAATCAAATCCAGGGAACAAGTGTGGTATCTGGGTGTGGAACCGGATTAGTCATATCAACAGGTTCAAGAACATATATGAGTACAATATTTTCCACAATGGGACAAGAGAAACATACAGATGCCTTTGAAAATGGCCTTCGGTGTGTATCCTATGCACTTGTTTGCATCATGGTTCTGGTAGTCCCAATAATAAGTTTATCTGACTACTATGCATCTCATAATTTGGGAGAGAGTGTTATATTTGGGATCTCTGTAGCAGTAGCACTGACACCACAAATGTTACCTCTTATTGTGAACACAAATCTTGCAAAAGGAGCAATTGCAATGGCCAAAGACAGATGCATAGTTAAGCGACTATCCACCATACAACACATGGGAGCTATGTAAGTTTGCAAAATTATTTCATCCACATGCACTTCTGAATGCACACATTTTTCCTATAGAATGTTAAAAATTATTTTCAAGCATGTGCTGGAATATGTTTAAGGTCAAACAACAATAAAAAATATTTCATGTCGTTGGTTGTATAAGATAGTGTGCAAGTTTGCTTTATTTTGATAGTATTTTTCCTTTTTATAATTTATAGTAGCAACAAGCATAAAAATGTATGGAATATTAGCATTTGCATGATGAAATTTTCTACTCATATGAACTTCTATTTTTTGGCCTAGCTCTGCATAACATGCTCTTTACAACAGATAGTCAACCAGAGAGCCTGTCTGAAGATCATTAAACTAAAATGACATAAGCATACGTGAAGACATACTATGATCTGTTTCCATAAACAAAAATAACAATCACAGAGTACATATCATGGTGTAAGAAAGTTTTTAGAACAGATCATTTTAAAAAGATAAATTGAGGTTTTAAAAATGTAAGGAGATTTCTGTGAGCATATTCATCTAAATATAATTAATATTGATGTAAATCTAACTTGTAAAGCAAGCAACAATGTGCTGTAGTATTACAGTATGATACAAATAACACCTAAAATGACTAGCTGAAATTTCACGAAAAAAATAGCTGAAATTAGTGTGTTTGAGAATAAGTGCATTTTCTTTAGTATGGTCATCTGAAAAGCTGATAAAGAATCTCATGCTGAATTGAGCACTTAAAGGAGACTAACCAAAATAAACATTAAAGAATAAGCACATTTTCTAGATCACTGGGTATGAAGGAATTCAATCTTAAGCAAATCAGTTGAATGTCATCTGGAAATTGGAAATGTTCAGAAAGATCCATAAAATTTTTAGTTCCATGGAAGTAATAGAAGTCATAAGATTTTAATACATTTTAGTTAAATAACTGAAATTGGAGTTATGACGACTTTAAAAGATTACGATGATATTATCTCAAATGAAGATAACTTGGCAGAAGAGGAAACATAGGTTAAACTTAATAGAACTACATATGGCAAATAACAGTAAAGAAATTATGATTCTCATCAGCCACAAAAATACATAGATATGCCAAAAAGAGTGACCTGGCCTAATAGTACGGAGGGTTGAAAAATAATTCATAAGCAAACAAGCTTCAGTAACTTATAATGAGTCTTCACAACTACTTCATGCATGAACTTGAGTTTCAGCGCATGCCCATTCATCCCAGCCATATTGTTTCAGCACAATCTCAGTACACAAGTGTATAAATTTTGTGAACAAGCACTCATTAAGCAGACTCATTTTGGCAACAAATTTGTGCTAGCACATCACTGTCGTGCTCCCATGTCATGAAATTTATCATGTTCTACAAAAGTATGGTAAAGAAATTGACATTCCATTGGGCGATTTCAATCTTATTTGGAGAGGTGTAGGGTACTCCATATTCAAATTCCAAGTCAGGTCACATTACAAAGTATGAAACAGATGAGAGAGGAAATGTATGCCTAGGGTACTAATGTTATTTTAGCTTCAATTTAACAAAATAATAAAGGTCAATGATATTGATGTCCAAGACCAGCATAAAATATTAATTTATCAACTTATTTTCTATTTAAGCAATTACAGATATACTCTGCCAAAAGTAATTCTTTTGCCATACATTTTCTTTGCAGGGATATTTTGTGCATCGACAAAACAGGAACACTAACAACGAATCGTATCATAATGGTACATCATATGGATAGTTGGGGGTTTCCAAATGAAAGAGTACTAAGATTTGCATTTCTAAATTCTTACTTCAAAACTGAAGCTAATAGTCCTATAGATGATGCAATTCTTGCTTATGCATATACAAATGGGTACAGATTCCAGGCATCAAAATGGCGAATGATAGAAGAGATTCCTTTTGATTTTGTAAGGAGAAGGATGTCTGTAATTATTGAGAGAGATCTAGACAGTATATGGGATGAACAAGGCTCCTATTTTGATACAACCAAATATGTCATAACAAAGGGGGCACTTGAAGAAGTTTTAAGTATTTCTACCTTGATCGAGGACATTGATAAAGGAGTAAATTTGACCTTGACTCCCAAAGATCGTGAAGTTGTCCTCCAAAAGAGTGAAGAACTGAGTAACGATGGATTGCGAGTCCTCGGAGTAGCTATGAAACGGGAAAACACGGTATGTGACCACTTACTCCATTTCAATTGAATTACAGAATTTGCTTGAAATTGATTTTTCTTAACAGTAGAAAAAAAAATTTAAAGCATCATGGATTACCGCTAATCATTTCAAATGAACAACAGAATTAGCTCCAAACATCTAAATTCTCTTGAGATTTACATAAGTTTGAAGTTGTTATGCATTACATATAATGTGTTTTCAAAAGGCTGCAATTTATAATTGTTTTAAATTTTAACATTGTTCTACAATAGTTACATTCTCTATTCATCACCATAATTAGTTGATCATAGTCTTTTACTAGTTGTTACTCATGCTTCACCATTCAGAAAATAGTTAGTCATCTAGGGGCATATGTCAACTAACCTTGCTGTCTTTCTTTCATATAATTGCAGATAATTAAAAGTGGGCCTACCAAATATCCAGCACTAGAATCAGACATGGTTTTCCTTGGCCTCATCTCCTTCTTTGACCCACCAAAAAACTCAGCGAAGCAAGCACTGTGGCAACTAGCAGAGAAGGGAGTAAAAGCAAAGGTGTTAACGGGTGACTCACTGTCTCTAACCATTAAGGTCTGTAAAGAAGTTGGCATTAGAACAACTCATGTGACAACTGGCCCAGATCTTGACATTCTTGAACATACTGAGTTTCATGAGGCTGTTAGAAGAGCCACAGTGCTGGCTCGTCTTACACCAACTCAAAAGCTTCGGGTAGTTCAGTCACTGCAGAAAGTAGGAAACCATGTTGTTGGATTTTTGGGTGATGGAATAAATGATTCCCTTGCATTGGAAGCTGCAGATGTTGGAATTTCAGTTGACTCCGGAGCAAGTGTAGCAAAGGATCTAGCCGACATTATACTACTCGAGAAGGATTTAAATGTTCTTGTCTCGGGTGTTGAACATGGTAGGCTGACCTATGGAAACACAATGAAATACATAAAAATGTCTTTGGTTGCTAATATTGGAAGTATTATCTCTCTCTTTATAGCGACTATGTTCATACAATTTGAGCCACTCAGTCCCAGACAGCTTCTGACTCAGAATTTTCTCTACAATCTAGGCCAAATTGCAATTCCATGGGACAAGGTAGATGACGGATATGCAAAGGTTCCTCAGGGATGGTCTGCAACAGAACTACCAGTTTTCATCCTATGGAATGGGCCAGTTTGTTCGATATTTGATATTGGCACCTTCTTATTCCTTCGTTTTTATTATGAAGCAGACCAAGTTTCAGATTCTGAATTTTTCCATTCTGCTTGGTTTATTGAGGGTCTTCTTATGCAGGCTCTTATCATCCACATGATTAGAACAGAAAAAATTCCCTTCATACAGGATATGGCAACATGGCCTGTGGTTTTCTCAACCATAACAATTTCTGCTATCGGGATCATAATTCCATTTAGTCCCATTGGTAAACTTATGGGACTAATGAACCTTCCACTATCATATTTTGGTTTCTTAGTAGTGCTTTTTCTTGGATACTTTTCGCTTGGGCAAGTTGTCAAGAGGATATATATACTCATTTACAAACGATGGCTTTAAAAGTGAGTCCATAGTTCTGTACATCAAAATTTAAGGCTGCTGACACATGAGGAATCGACTTCAGTTTTATTCTGTGTCTACCAAACATTGGCAAAGTCTAGTTTTGAGTCAACTTCAGTTTCATTCCACCATAAAAAAAATTTTATATCATTTTAATTCGATAAAGATGTTATACTTGTTTCGTTTTGGCTTTTTCGGTGAATATATGAGAAAATAAATATACAAACAACAATGATAAAATTCATTCAAGTGTATCACCACACTCTTATACAAATGAAAACCAAATCTCGGAGACCTTTACCACAACCATTTATTTCCAACCCTTGATACACCTATATCTACGCTCAACTAAACTCACCAAACAGGGAAGTCCATAGAGGAGACCACTGATGGCTGCTGGTTGAGTTTTTCTTTCTCTTTTCCTCTCTCTTTCTTATTTTCTGTATTTATCTTGACTCTTATCTTCAAATCAATGAAATTGGGAGGCTTGTGTCAGCGTTATAACACGTGCCAACTATTGAAAAGGTTATTGTCTGTCAATGCCCAAAAAAACTGCCATGCTAGCTGCCAAATTGCATTTAAGCATCCCAGTCCGTAAGCACTATCAAAGATTAATATCACAAAAATAAAAAGAGGATTAACTATCCTCCTCAAGGATTTTGAGATGCTTGTTCTAGGGTTAATGTGGAGACAACAGTACCAGATGTGTTGATAGTGGCAAGATGAACTGTTTGGGTTTCTAACTGATAAAGTAACTGTACTTCACATTTCACATAAACATGAACATTGTATCAGGAAGACACCTAGAGATCCAATAGCTTCCAGTCACATTACATGGAAATTGAAGCAAGATATAAGGAATTTATTATTTTCAGTAAGGTTGCATAGGCTGAGAGGTCACAGTATAAGCATGGTTCCAAGACCAACTTGATGTGCCCTAGTAGCTAGAATACTCAAAAGAAAAAGTGGTACAAGTTCCAGCTAAATAAGGATACAATTGGCAGGCATGCAGACTTCAAATCTGCTTTCTTCTTCTTCTTCTTCTTCTTCTTCTTCTTCTTCTTTTGCCTTTAGCAAGAGAAAATAACAGCATGAATACATCGGGCGAGATCAAAAAGAGGAAAGTGAAGGAGAAATATAAAGGAAAATGACAAACTAGATGATGAGGAATAATGTCAAGGGCCAACCCCAGCCCACCCCAAGCAACCCCTCCAAAACCCCAAACATCCACAAGGAGGGAACAGAAAAAGACCTAGACTCAACAATTAGTCATATTCTACATAAATCTACCATCTTATACTGTGTAATTCTCACAATTTGCACAGCAATTTGGAAGCAAATTAGAGCCCCCGCTCACAGTTTTGTACTAAATCAATCTCAACGCGCCACCCATCAGTTCATGAAATATTGGCCCTCATAAGTCAATTTCAATGCCTCACTCCTCATTCATGAGATCCTGAAGTGGCAAGCATTGATCATAACTCACAGGCTGAAACTCTATATCATCAAGAATTCCATAAAAAAAAAAAGGAAATTCCTTGACACCGCACCTCGATCGATCTCTGATCTAAATTCCATTTACATCGTAGACTTTTATAAGCAACCCATTTCAACTTGCGTCCGGCCGTAAAACCCTGACCCTAAATCAAGAAACAAAAGAATAATATCTAATCACATCCCCAAATTAATCTTTCCGCCGTAAAGAGCAATCAACCAAAACAAGAGCACAGTTTCAAGGGAAGCGGAGCAACCAAAACCTCACAAAACTAAGGCAGAAGACAGGAAGGGGAGGGATGTTTACCTGATGTACATGATAAGTGGAAAAGAGACGGGGAAACCAAATGCCATTCCGCTACACTGAAGCATGTCGGTGATTGCAATCAACGCATGTTGATGATACGACGGATTCAAGAAGAGGAGGGTATGACGAACGAGATAAGTGGGGAAGCGGAGAGGAATCTGTGCCTGTCTAAACCTTCCATAAACCACCATTTAGGCCGAAGAGAGCGCTATAAAGGACGAACTAAAGCTTCTTTTTGTCTCTTAAGAACAATGCTTTAACCATTCGGTCCCTAATAATTGAAACATTTATAAAGAATTATTTTGGGTCACCGATAGATTTGATAAAATGTAAAATGTATAAAATGTAAATATCAGAAAAAGGAAATTATTATTAAAGCCCTCTCTTTCATCTAATAATACCATTATAGTCATCTAATAATTAGTTATCTTTAGTTACTCGACCGATGAAATGAGTTAATTATATATATATATATAAATATAATTTTTTAGTAATTTTTATATTTTTAAAAATTATATTAGAATTTTTATAATTATAAAAATAAAATATTTAATCTTATTTCTATTTAAATTACCAATTTTACTAATGAAAATGTCATAGGGTTTATTAATGAGCACGTATTGATTTTACCTCATTTTGATTTATTACTTAACACATATAATAAATATTCTATTAGTAGAGTTGACACCATAAAAAAAAATATATTTTATTTTTATAAATATAAAGATTTTAATATAATTTTTTAAAATACACGAAATACTAAAAAATAACTAATTATGATTTCCCGGCAGAGGCAAGCCTCCGCGTCCTCCTCCTTCAACATGTGGTGGTGCGGGTGGTGGTCCGGGTTTGAATGTATCGGTGCAGAAGTCGGCACGGAAGAGGCTGAGCTTTCGACTCCTACGGCCGCGGGGAGCGGATGCGCTTGCTTCTGCGGGGAGGATACACGGAGACGGTGGGCATTCTCGACGTTGAGTCCAGAGCTGTCCGACGAACCGTCCCGTCCTTGTAGATCAGAACAGATCAGGACTCCACCTCCTCCCCGGCCGCGGCCTTGGTCTCGGCATCAGAGACCACTGGCTCTTCCTTCACGGAGGATAAGCTCAGGGTCTCCTCTCCAGCTAACTCGGCTTCCAGCTCTTCAATCTGCACCACGACACGAACAACAGCGTTGAAGGAAACCAATCGTTCAGAAAGGGCTTGACAGTCGAACTATTGAATCCGTGACTCGCCTGAGCCAGAATGACTCATTATCGCGGTGGAGCAAATCGTAGTCGAGGCGGAGCGCCTCGTAGCTCAAGCTGCTTGGTCTTCCACCGGGCACGAAGCTTCTGGAACCAGACAGACACCTGCCGCGGCTGGAGGCCCAGCTCCAGCGCCATCCTTAGCTTCCTCTCAGGCCCCAGCTTGTTCTCCAACTCAAAGCTCCTCTCCAGAGCTCTCACCTGCGCTTCTTCTCTCCCGGCAACGACAGAGCCGCCGTGACGCTGCCGCAGTCACCATCATCGTCATCCAGCCCATCCATCAAGGAGAATTCCCTCCCATCAACGCCATCCTCGTCGGTTAAACATGCATGTTCCAATTTTTCTGCTACGTAAGCAATCAGAATCCGCAAAGAGAACTCTCAATGAGGATGACCGAGAGAGGCATTACCCCAGATGGGCAGATTGGCATGAATGAGTCTCGAGTCTGTGACGGGCGCCGGCCTCTTCATGCCACTTGCTGTTCAGTGCTTTGATGCTGCTAAGAAGGGATCTCTGTGGCAAGTACAAGTAGGTTCTTGATCGAAAAGAAGCCGAGGAGAGGGATTGCACACAGCGCAGCTGAGAGAGAAGCTGTGTGACAGTGAGGTCCTCCTCTCCTTCTCACCCATCTCCTCTTCTTCGAGCTCATCACCAGATTCTACTACTGCAAGCAAATCTAAAGGTTATCGCAGCTCAATTGTGACATATCAAGCTAACCTAGTGGCATATTGCATGTATAAGAGTCAAGATTCGATGGTGTCACCATATCAAGCAATCGAGAACGTGATTAATGTCGCATCGCAAAGTGGTTTAAGCACTAATCGAGCCTCCATTGTGACCCAACAAGTCTCGAATAATAAATAGTATTTTGTGTTAAGAGATGATTGGTCGGATTCATGGATCGGATTGAGATGTGACGAATGGGAACTCGACACATCATTGGCCACTTGGCTATGCCTTTCGCTTGCTATTTCTTTATAGAGCTTCCATGGCACAAATCCTTCCTTCGTAATCGTTCGACTAATTCAAAGTGTTCCATCACTTCATCAATCTCTCCATCTATCTATCTATCTATTTGTTCATCGGTCACATCTATTTATCTATATATTTATTTATTTATATTTTAAAAAAATTATATTATCGCTTATGAAATTTTGGTCGATTTATTTGAGTAGCAAAGCCAACTCGACCAATAACATTTAGGAAGCGCACCTCATTATGATGATGATGGCAAGAACGGATGTCAACTTAGACGTTCTACTTGTAAACTTGTATCAAGACTATTTTCGATAAGATCCTTTTGACGTTTAAGTTAGATGATGATCTCAAAATATGATATTTTTCTAAGCTTAACATACCTTAGAGCCCCCTTCTTCTTGTTCTTAAGGGATTCAAACAGGACTATAAGATAAAAGGAGGAATCAATGATACTATTTACTTGTACATCTCAAAGCACAATCAAACGCCTAAAGATTACTTCCCAAAGCTACTCCATCGAGTGAACCTCCTTTAAGAGAGATCATCTATCTAGTTTTGAAGGTTGTATATGGGTGCTTTCTTCTTCCTCTTCCATTTATCGTCTCATTTAGCACCAATTTAGTTGACTTGTAGATTTATAGCTACTGTTTAGTTTGTTCCAAAGATATTTTCTTGAAGGAGAAAAACTTCTAAACCCTTGGCAAAATACTAAATGGAGCTGATCCTTCGAAGTAGAATCATTTGAAGTAAGATCAGAGTAAGAGAAGCAAACTTTTGTGTGATCTTTAGTTCTAATTATATGATGTGTGAAGCTCGACACTAAGGAACGTAAACTTATCATCGGAAAGAGAAGGATGTCATCGAGTTATATCAGAGTTATTGCATACAATCTCATGTACTGCAGCAGCATTACGTCGTCATTAGGCTCTGAGAGAGAAGGGGTTTTGACTAGCCGTGACCAGCTTCCTCTTCGATCTCTGCAAGTATTCCATGGATTGCGGTGGCAATCTCATCCACTGACGTCAACTGGCAACCGTCTTCCACCTTCACAAACATAGGCATGATCCGAAGCGACCAGCGTCAACTCACGATCCATGGCATCAAGAGAAGAGAGAACCGAATCAAAGGACTGCGATCTCAGTACTGTACCTTGACGCTGAGACAGTAGAGCACCATCTCGTCGACGGCGGTCACGTTGAGGTGGAGCGCCGTGAGTCGCAGGCTCTGCATGCCGCCCACCAGCTTCAGCAGCTGTCCGGCTCGCCGCCTCGAGAAGATTTTCACGTTGGCGTGGCTCTCGATGACGATGACCTCGACGTCGGCCGCGGCTCCGCTGCTCTCGGTGTTCGTGCAGGGTGAAGAGGCTGATGAGTACTGAGGGAAGGTGAAGAAGGCAGAAAAAGGAGATGCCTTGGATCGTTGCTTGACTCGCTTCCGAGCCTCGAGGGAGTGGACTAATTGTTCGAGCTCTCTGACGAAGTTTATGGCGCCTTCAACCGTCGATGCTTGGTCGCCCTGTCCATGGAGAAACGAGCAGCTTGAGGCAGTGACATGGTGCAACTGAGGATGTTATGGCGCAGGGGAAGACAAACCCTTTGCGAGTGCGAGGCCGGCATGAGGGAGCGGAGCACGGCGAGGTACTCGTTCATCTGTTTCCGCCGGTTACGCTCCACAGCGATGTGAGTCATCCTCTGGTTCTCCACCTCTTCCTCGCTCTTGACTCTCTTGGTGCGCTGCCTCTTGCTCCGTCCCACGGCCTCCCCCGTCCCCGCAGTCTCCTCTCGGAGAGCAGCAGCTGCACCCGGCGTCGGCGGCGAATCCACATCCCAGTCGTCGAAGTTCTGCACCGGGGAGGAGCAACAGGTGCTCCATCTGCCATGCCTTCCTCGTTCACCACCGAAGCCATAGCCCGGTGCCGCACCTCCCACGTCGTAAAGCTCCTTCATGGCGACACCAGGGAGGTCATGCTGAAACACCACAGCTTCTGATGCCATTTTTCCCACACAGAGCGCTCCAACCACATACAGATGCCTCGGGACAGCCCTAAAGGCCTCAGTGAAAGAAAAAGAAGAAGACACAGGGGTGGCACATGAGTCCAAGCAAGCAACAAGGAACATGGTGGTGAGGTGGGCTAGAGTAGGGTGGTGGTGAGAGGGGCTCCCATGGATTGTCATTACAGATATGTACAAAGGGATTGAAAGGGGGGCTGCTTTTGTTTTGATCCGCATATGATTTGGTTGGATGTCAGGGCCCAGAGATCGGAGGGAACGGAAAGGCTGACATGAAAAGGAGATGGCAACGGGAGCTCAGATGCTCTCCTTGTCTTCTTCACACTGTGAGGCTGAGGAGTGAGAGCCAAGTGTGAGGAAGCATGTCACTTTGTTGAGACCAAAAGGGTCATGTGATCGCCATGCCCAACCTTGTGCCGGCCACAGCAATTCCTCTGCAACCATCTGCCACAACAGGCTGCCTTGATCCTTCCTATATGTCTGTCCCCTATATATTTCAGCAGGTTTTCTTTGATATGGTGTAATGGATCAGAAGATGGAAGGATTCAAATTGACACAGGTACTGGTTCTCTCATCATGTTTCAGGAATTAGTCTGACATCATAGTATAGTGATTTCAGATGGGTGCTGTTAGGTCAGATGAATAAGATTGTAGTGAATCTTTTTGTCTGCTATAATGTACAGCCTTTTTACTTTTAACTACAGTGTATTTATAAAAGCACTGTCATTAATGGATAATAACACAATTATGACTAAATTTAAGTGAGTGGTTGACCAGTGTCTGTATCACAGAAGAATAATGCTAAGAGTCTCACAAGCAATGGTATAACTTCAAACATTTTAGCTCTCATATTGATATAGAAGAAGGTAACTAAGCCAGAAAACAAGTTTGTTTAAGCATTCTTTTATCAGTTCAACTACATTAATCCTAATGAATAGAGACATAGTATTCCCAACATCAGATTTGTTGGGATGAACAAATCAGTAGCTTGTCTCATGGCTGCAATTTGGTTATCTTCTTTGTTGGATATGATTTGAAGTCCTATTAAAATAGGCTTCACCTTCTAACTGGACCACACCACAAAATTCAACTTGTTCTAATGGCAATCCACTTCCAAAGAAGAATGCAGAGAGTCTTTTAAGCAGATTGCATCAAACAAGACCTCAATCTGGTTGCTGCTTCAAATCATAATGTATGACTTTCCATGGTGGACACAGCAATCACCACAAAAAGCATGTTTGACTCCTCAACAAACAATTCCTCACTGCATTTAGCTTCATGGTTCATGTTGGACTGCAGTTCTTTGGATCTCTGTCATGTGGGTATGCATCAGGGTGGGTGAGTCTTAGACATGAGACATTATGTGGGGATTCCACAAGCCATTCTGGTTTGCATCAAATCACCAATCCAGGCAGGCAGCCCCTTGTTGCAGGCTTAGAGAGATTGGCCTTCATTTCACTTTCAATAGCTTTGCTTTGATATTTTTGTCATGCCTGTTCATGTGTTGTCTACAAGAAATTAGGAATTATTCACCTGCACTTGGGGACAAATCTAGGCAAAGAGGTAGGCAATCATGACATGACCTGTGCTTCTCTGCAAATAGCCTGCACAGTTGTTGCTTCTGATTTCAGTGAAAGAGGCTGGTGTCTCATAATTTCATTTCGAGAGATCTGAATTGACCAGAGAGGCAAGAACAGAAAATTAAATAGTTTACATAATAAAAAGGAAAATTGGCTATATCATTCAATTGTTAGGAGTATTAGTACCCTAAATGCTGATTAAATTCTAACATTGCATAGGCATGTATTGTGATTCATCTTCCACTCATCGTAAATTCCCTGTGTCTGGTTTCATCAATACTACTTTGCAGGTTCTACATCATTTGGAAAACCTTGGCATGATATTTGCTTAAGAATAAAAAACCTTGGAAAACATTATGTTGAATTTTATTGGACCTGTGTATCAAGTATTGCATGTGGATGTGGAGTTCTGAGGTTATCATTTTCCTACCACTTGGTATAAATCAGCATAGTGTGGTCACTTCAATCTTCTTGTGCTAATTTATTTGATCCATCATGCATTGCATAATGACACCACAAACTCATGCCTATGGTCTATTGGCAAAAACAATCTCTCTCTCTCTCTCTCCCCCCTCTCTTTCTCACACACACACACATATATATATATATATAGTGATTTTTAAGAAAATACCCATATTTTGAGTATTTTTCAATCAGCACTCTCATTTTATTTTTTTAAACAGTTTTTCTTTATTTTTTAAAGCAGTTTTTTCTAATTTAAAATTATCTAAATTATCTCTCAAAAATTCTTTTTGTTTGTTACAGTGTTTTGGCTTGTTTTAGTATTTTTGACGATTACAATAAAAATATTATAAAATCTTCTTGAAAATAATGTAAATGATCTAAATGGACTTCTAACCTCAACCAAACTAACCACAAGCCTAAGAATATAATATTCTAATGGCTTATGAGCAATATAATATCACTTACAATGTTCTTAAATGACGTTTACAATATTTTCGATACCTCAATAAAATACTGTAAATGCTATTAAAAAATACTATAAATGAGTTAAAATAAAAATATTGTAACAATCGAAAAGTTGTAAAAAATTTTGGCAAGACAACTTTCGAGAGGTATTTTGAATATTTTTAAATTTAAAATATTATTAAAAAAAGAGAGACCAGTATCTTTTAAAAAAATCTAAAATATAATATTTTTTTTTTATAGAAAACACACACACGTGCCAAATTTGTTTGTCTTCCGATGAAGACTGATGTTGATTTAAGATTTTGAAAGAGACCACCCGGTGATGACAGGCCCCCATAACCAAATGCTGCTTCTTCCATTTCTTTTTGCTCACATTCCGTGCTGACTTTAAGGATTTGCATTGGGACAATACACAACTAATACAAATTGATACACCATGTTTGGCAGGGACAAGTTTGGTTATGTCAGGTTAGATCAGCTGGCATCGAGAACTAAGGAACACCCAAACTAACAAGAATTTTTTGGGTTCGGCATTTCAGAACGTGACAAGAATCTAAGAACAAAAATCATGGAAAACTAGTTAAATTGCACTCTCCACGAAAGCAAACATACAAATCATGTGAATGTACATGTTAGAAATGATAGGTGAACCCTATGAGACCAACTGTGACCTTTCGCTATCTTTCCGAGTCCAACTAGTTTGGTGGTTCAACCGAACACGTATAGACCTTTTGCTACATATATTATTGGAGGCTTCCCGAGAACTATAGGGATTGACTCCAAAAAAGAGAAGAAAAATTGACTTCATCGCAGACTGGCTGTCCAGTCTATACACTTGCTTGATTCATACAACAAGACTTTCTCTGTCTGAGCTCCTTTTGTTCTGCTTTACTTTATGAATAGGCCAGGAGCTATCTGGTAGATCGCATATCTGTTATGCCCATATCGTTGTCGTCGAAATCAAAATCGAAATCCCCATCTTGATTTTTACTTGGACGTTGCTTCAACTTTTGGAAAATTTCATCCAAGGATTCAGAAGAAGAGCCACGAGAATGGAGTGGAGTCTCCTGAGCTTGGCGCAATGGAAATAATTTCTTTGCTCCCAAATTAGTTTTGAAGTTCTGAAAACCATTCTTCATTGATGCCCATGTAGAAGTTAATCCTGAGGTGGCACCCACTGCTGGGCCATCAGACTGCCTCTGGGAGTTGCCTGCCTCGAGCAAAGACACAGATGCTGAGGATGTGGCCTTTTCCTTCAATGCAGGGCTGGCTGGTTTCTTCACTTGCTGTTCCCTTATCATTGCGTACTTGTTCACAATAGCTTCATGGCTGGTAGTGTCCTTCCGCTTATCTTGTTTTGGAGGTTTAGGTGGAATCCCATTACTGTTCTCCTTCGGTAGGACCGATGCTGCTTTCACCTCCAAAACCTCCTTGCCCTGAATGAGATAATTGTTGAATACATGGAACAAGATCAATTATATGAAAAGGATAAAAGCAAACATGATTTTTGCAAGTGTAAACAGACAAATCTTTCTTAGAATTACAACTATACTTCATGATCCTAACGTCCCTATGGTTTGAAGTTTGAACGATCAAATAACCTTTCTGTTTGTTGTTTCAATCTTCTCAAGCCAAGCAAAACATAATTATGTTGTGGAATAGAAGTGCCCGGATGGTGATCCATTCAGACTAAATGCAGTGGACCCAACAGAAGCCAAAAGTAAAATGTATGGATCTAACCATTTTCTATGAGAAGCTAGCATGTAGCTTTCAAGTTATGAATGATTTTTTTTATGATGAAACCATCAAGTAGCGAGATTACTTACTGGTGGTGAACTGCCTGACTCAACATCAACATCTGTACCATTAAAATTTCTTGCTAATGGCACAACTTGCTCACCAACTTTGCGCCCCTGTTCAAGCCAAGACCTTTCTGAAGAGATCAAAAATTCAGATATTAGATTTGTCCATTTAGGTTCCCAAATATATTCTCAAAGGACCAGTGAGAAGATTGTTAACTACAATTGTCACAAGGCCTACAAGTCCTATAGGATTTATAATGCCAGTCAAACACCATCAGCCAATAGCAATAAAGCATGATTAAATGTATCGGAAGTGTTAGTACGATCAAATACTGGCCTAAATGTGAACAGTGGAAAGCTCGACTAAGAGAAAGATTCAGTAATGTTCTTAATGAACAAAAACAAAGTTGATGCTAATTAGTATAACTCATAAAGCACTCATCCCTTTCCCTTCTCTTGGCTGTGGTTTGGGAAGAGCATACTGATAGTATGAAAAGACAAAAACCAACATATCAGGACCTTGAAGCCAAATTGCTTTTCAGACAAAGACAAAAGCTGGCCTTGGTACCAAGCTCAAAAATACATTTTCAAATCTTTTACTATGTCAGAGCAAGTACTAAGGGGCAAAACTAGGTTCCTCCAATTAACTGCATTTAGCATGCTAGTAAATAACCAGAAAAACACAACCAAAAATCAATTAAGCATGCACAATTGTGAGAGAGTAT